AGCGGGAATGACAACCTTTGAGCACGCAGCCGGCCAGGAAAACCCGTTGGCCGGCCGGGACGGTTTGTTTAACTACATCATCGGCAGGTTCGGCCGATCGCAGCTCCCACTGGCCGCGGTTTGCTGTTCCAGGCCAATGGGGGCTGCGGGAAGCGGCAGCCAGCACATCCCTTGGCCCATACAGCTTCCAACAGCCCCCATTGGCCTGGAACAGCAAACCGCGGCCAGTGGGAGCTGCGATCGGCCGAACCTGCAGATGCTGTAGTTAAACAAACCGTCCCGGCCGGCCAGCGGATTTCCCTGACGGGCTGCGTGCTAAAGGTTGCTGATCCCTGCTCTAAACTAAGCAGTCCCAAACTTTTTCACTCTCTCTTTATATGAAAATGTCTCAATTAAATAAAATAAAGAATATTATTATTATATTATTTCCATTAGTAACTTGTGGTGATTTGTACTTGGATTATTTATTAAGTGAATATTAGTAACCACGATCTTTCTTTCGTAGATGAACAAACCCAACATGTGGAGGCCTGTAACACATTCATTGCTATATGGACTCAAAGTCCTAAGGATCACATGGGATTTGCATCTGAATACATTTGTTAGCTTATATATGTGAAATCACACACACATATATATATGATCATTTAGTTCTTTATTGATTGCATATATGAAGCTTGTGTACACTATATATTCCAGTATACTGAGCATCTGAAATACTTCATATTATGGTTTCAGACAGGAGTATGTAACTAGCCTGCTCCAAATTCAGATCTGGTGTAAGCAAGTGTAACTCCACTGACCTCAACAGAGGTCTACTTATATCCCTGAATTTAGTCCCCACTTATGTAAAGGTAAAAACTTCCCATTTGGGGGTTGAATCATGCACCATTTTCATCACCTTGAGCACAGGCATATTAGATGTGTGTTTATTAGATTTGGGTAATGCGCTTTCTAGAGGAGAAAAGTTTTGTAGGGAGGATGCTGGCTGAGGGTACTCTTTCTGAGATTATGTATATGCGAATCTGAAATTGGAATAGAGCTCTTAATGTTCCAGTATGCTGTCACTTAATAATTATCTCAGGATGGACTGCAAGCAGTATCTTTATCATTACTTCAGGTATCTACCAGTAAGCATCTTGAGCTGTGGGTTTGAGCATGCATTGCTGAACATTCTAGCCTTGAACCAGCAATGCATTTAAACACATGCTGAATTTTAAGGATGTGAGGGTTTTGCTAGATTAGGCCAGAGTGCTTAGCATCCAGCCCCTAAGAAGTGGGTACATTAGAGAACCTCCACTTATCCTGTTCACATGACTTGCATGAGTAGTAAGTTGCTTCAGTGGGTCCATTCACATGAGATAAGCAAGCAGGATTTCCCCCCTAATATGCCATATCAGTTCAAATAATTCCTACGTTACCTGGTCTGTGACGGATGTTCTTCAGGGAGCCACATTTGGAAGTGACATGGCTCAGATCTATTTTCTTGGTTACAATTTGTATCTGTAGAAAGTGCACAAAACACGTTTTAGGAAGAGCAAAGGGCAAAGAGGAAGAGCGCTAGCTTCGAAAAACACTGGAAAAGAAGAAATAGTTAGCAGAGAACAGATCATGCCAGAAAGGTGAGAAACATCTGGATTAATACAGCAAGCTTCCATTCCGCCAAGGAACCTGACAGTGGCGTGTTAAGTCTTTTCATTAGTAAAACAAAGATGTGAATCAAGAAGATAAACAAGGGTTATTTTCTAAGAAGCTTCTGAGCTTTCCTCTTGTGGTGAAAGGCGGTGCCTCTAAGCACTGTGTGTAGCATGATACATATCGTTGTTCTAGTCTGCTTTCTTTGTTCCTTTCTTGAATACTTATTTCCTGGGAATTTGGGCTTTTAATACCATCCCTTTCACATGGCTTATCCTGATTTTCAGATTCAAATCTCTTCCCATGTCCTTCTGTCCCCATAAGTACAGTGTAAACACTAAGTGTGATTCACTACTGAGTGACTCCAGTTTTACATCAGATTAAATCCATAATGGGGTTACACTGGCATAAAACGGGAGTAACACAATGGCTAATCAGACCTTCTGTCTAAACCCTGTTTATCCTGATTTTGTATTTCTTTTATCTGTCTATCTGTCATCTAAGTCTGTTAATTTTATATAGTCTTCTGAGAGAGAGAGAGAGACTCTGGGACAGAAGTGCACACCCAACCTTGAATGACAGATGGACTACGCTTTCGGTCTTTCTGTTACTTTGTCTGAGGTGACCTAAAGAAGGCAAATGTACAGATCTGCTGTAAGCCCGGACTTCCCCTGGTACTTCCAGGAGCTTGAATGAATGACTGATTTCTGTGGAATTGTGAGCAAATGTGAATGAAGCCACATTGCAGCAGTGTGCATCTAGGCAGTCTGGCCTTTTCACTGGGGACAGAGGGAGATAGAACGCTGCAGTTTAAGAAAAATGTAATAAGTGAAAAGTGTGTTTGTCACTTCCTTGAAATTAGTCACCTTGGATCAGATCATGTAAGACCTGAACAACCTCAGCTCTCATTGGGCTCCTATTTTGGGGTTCAGTGGAAGCTGTAGCTGCTTAGCGCCTCTAAGGACACTCAGCTCCTTGCAGGACTAAACCCGTGGCTGTAAAGACGCACTCATCCTCTTCCTCCTAATCCGTTTCCTGGTTGAATCCTAAACATTTGCTGCGGTCTGTGGGGAAGGATCAGAAGCCCACCATGGAACACACAGGGTTGACAGACTACCAGACCAAGTTAACATGTGAAACATAAGCAAGAAGGGAAATAGTGCTTGGAAGGAGGGGAGACAGAGGGCTGGCTGTGCAAGGTGGGTCATCACAGTCAGGACGCCTTCTGAGGTAGCGTCACTACTTACATTTCCTCCCCCTGCAGAATGTTTGATGTTATCCTTGGAACCACATCTGGACTGAATATCGCTAAAATCGATCTTCTTGTTTAAAATTCTAACCTAAAAGGAATTGGAAGTAACTTACTATGCTGTACACATGTTCTTTCAGTCTGCAGGTTAGAGGACCCAAGATGGCTGTGACTGCTACTGGTGGTATGGGCACTTATGTTTAAACGTTGGCCAAATGGATACAGCCAGCTATGGAAAGCAGCCTCAATGTTAAAATTAATCTATTGCTCTTTTCACCTCCTTCCAAGCTGGTTGCTGGTCAAATGAAATATAATCGGTGATGGTTATATTCTGGGAGTTCTCCCTTTAGTCCTAAGGATCCCAGTTTGTCTCCAATTTATATAGCCATTAATCTCCTGGCCAGGAAAGACTGGACTGGATGCTCTTGGGAGGTTGCCAGCACCTCTCTTAAGTTGGCCAGGGGGGTCCATGCAGAGAGACCTGGGACAGAGGACTGTGCCTCCTGTACAACAATACCAGATCCAGCCAGCCCAGGGAGCATGGAGTCAGGAGTTGGACTCTGGTCTCCTGCTTAGCACTTACTCCTAAAGAACCCTCAGATTGCCTACGAAGGTAACCAGTGATATTTATTGCCATTTTACAGATGGGAAAACTGAGTCATGGGGATGCTGTGGTCTTACACCTCTCATCAGATTAAGCTGTGACAGGGAAGAGGACAAGGTGCACCACCTGGTCCTGGGAGCTTTTTGTCTTTGTCACAGTTTCCTGGTCACTGGGAGGAGATTGACAGCCAATGAGATTTGCAACACCTGTGTAAAGTGTAACCAGTGCTGCCCCGCCATATGGACAATACACCCCTCTGGGACCACCGGCACTGCTCCTCCTCTGTGCTCCCCATCATTGGCAGCCACATCCCTGGGGGAAAAGGGATCCCTGTACCTTTCCCCTCACACACTCAAGTGGCCATCATTTGTCTCTATGTGAGCCAGCGACAGAGCCGGGACTAGAGTCCAGATCTCCAAACACCCAGTGCCACACTCAGCCCACTGGACAACAGTTGCTCCATTCAGATCCCCCCACTACTGCAGCATCTCCACCTGGCAAAAGGAGGAGCTTACTGGGACACCAATCATTTTGCTTTGGTAATTGTGCTTCTGTTTTTCCAATAAACAATACACGGCAAAACTGTGGGTGCCCCCACTCAGGGGCAGGAGGGTGCAGGCTCCATCCCACCAGAGGTTCAGATCTGCACCAACCAGCCCTGTGCTCCTCTTTGTGAGCCCTGAGAACACGGGAGGGGTGACGAGTGCTGCTAGTGCTCAGCTCCCCAGAGGGGACGTGAGCCAACATTTCTGGATCATGCCCATGGCTCCACAGGCCTCTGTCAGTGCCCGGAGCCCTCACCGCACCTTTTAAAAAGTGTAGCAAATGCAACTTCTGAACATGTTTCCCGCTTGCTTCGCTGGCAGCATTATGCCTGACTGTCCTGCACAGTCATTATGCCTCCAGCCACAATCACCCAGGTACAGCACTGCAGCCTCTGCAGCGCATGTCTGATCACACAAGCCGTACGTACCCCGGTATGCCTGAAACAAAGCCCTAAGAGTAAGACAGTGACAAGCAATCTTGTCACACACAGGTCTTTGATATTATAGTGAATTACAGCCTCAAATAGAGAGACAGATTAGATAAGATAGATAGTGTCCACCACAGAAGGTCTGGCTGGTGCAGTGGAACAGAAAACCCAGAGTCTATGAAATCATGAATGAGGACAAGATGGCTGACTTACTGCAGATAAGAGAAAGACGATGTTGCTGGATGGGGGGGCAGAACCACTAGAAGAACAGGCAAGAAGCACACCTGAGGCTGAGGGAGCGCATCTGCCACCTGTGACTCACATTTGCAATCAAGGAGTTTTACTACCTCCAGGGCTGCTTTTGGAACATCAAATAACAGCTGTAGCCAAAAAAGGTGAGGAAGTTTCCACCTGTACTTGGGTAGGACAATGCAACCTTTCCTTCCAAATGGCCGATGGGAGCCTCATCCACACGGTTACCTCAAGAGGTGGCGACTGCAATGGACTCTACTTGGGGCCACACACTGGGACCAAGGCTTAGAAGCTTATGCAGAATGCAGCTGACCATAGGCTGAGCAATACACCATCATGCAGGGAGCATATTACACTAATGCTCCACAGAGCTGCACTGCATGCCGCTATCTTTCCAGCGAGAGATCAAGGCACCGATTTAATATATAAAGCCCTAGCTGATCTGGGATCTGGTTATGTGAGGAAGCGCCTTTCTACTTGGGTCAAGCTGCCACAGTGGCATAGCTTGTTGGTGTAGCACACAAAATCATGTCCCTTTGGGGAATGGAGAGATGGGGAAAAGCATGTGTTTGACAGTGCTCCTTCCTGACTCATGCTAGATCAGACCATGAAACTGCAGGCACATAAATTAGCTCGCCCCATGGTTCTCCCACCTGATCACCAAATGTCTGGGTTTTATCCTTGCATCCAAATGGCGGCTAGAGTCTTGGTGGTGGAGTAGTGTCATATTCTTTGTTATGTTTTTCTCTATAGGCCAGATCTTCAGCTGGGATAAATTAGTGTCGCTCCATTGACTTCAATGACAATATGAACCAACTGAGCATCCCCAGTGAGGGATTTCTGCTTAAAAATTGAATGGATGGTGTGACCCAATGTAATTCCTTGGGGGCCACATCCTAAGGTCTTTACTCAAATATTGCATGATTTTTATTCAACTCTGCCTGACTAAAATAAGGACCTCGGGATTTGGTTTATAATACTAATGTACTTTGAATTTACAGCGTCTTTCCATGCAAGCTTTATATTTTTGTAAGGCTTGCTGATAGGCATTTCTAGATCATTCTTCAACACAGCATTCATCACAGTCATATCTGTAACGTAGCTGACAGGCAGAATAGGAAAAGCTAAGCTGACTGACTGATATTTAGCTGATAGATAGATAGATTGATAGAGACAGATTCATTGGTACCCTCTAGCTGCTTACTGTCGATCTGGTAACACAAAGCAGACGCAAACCCTGCTTAACTGTCCAGTGGGAGGAAGGCAGTCTTGTGGCTAAGACACTACACTGGGACATATGTAATCTGGATTCAATTCTCAACTCTGCCACAGCCTTCCTTTGTGACCTTGGGCAAATCACTTAATCTCCCTGTGCCTCAGTTCCCTATCTATAAACTAGGGACAATAATACTTCCTTGCCTTACAGGTATGTTGCCAGGATTAATGCTTGTGAGGCTCTCGATTACTAGAATCATGGTGACCATGTCAGTACAATACCTTAGTAGATAGCTAAGCTGGAGTGCACTGTTGAATCAGGTCTTTTGTCTGTGCTCCTGTACCTGAGTACAACATTTGTGCTATTTCTTTTCCTTCCCTGGTGTGATGCTGGCAGACCAGGTACCAGCTCATGCCAAGGCAATTGGGCCTCACTAAACACTGACAAATGCGTAGCTGGAAACCAGTCTGCCTCACCTATGTGTTACTATTATTAAAATAGATATTACAGTTATAAGAATGTCTCTAGTGTTTAGACTTTATGGGATGCTTGTAGGAGGCTGCACATATTAAACCTACTTATAACATCTGTATCCCATGTTATAAGATAATGTTTAAATGCTTGCTCTGTAACTATAAAAATGTTTGCTAAGACCATGAACCCCCACCATCAGGGGAGAAACATCATCAAGTGTGAAATACTAGTTTGCCACAAGAGGTGTCATCTCCTCCTCACAAAAGAAGGTCTACAGACATCAAACAAGCCACCGTGCAACATCAGTGGACAAAACACTTTGCTGATTGTTCCCCCAACACCCATGGAGAGGAGACGTGCACCAAACGCCCATCTTATCAGTTTGATTGCTGGGGGAAATCCCTGTGTGACGCATGACCAGAAAGGATTACACATCTTGCAGGATGAATGACTCAAATTCAACCCTTAAAGACATATGGGGAGATGATGTTTGTGTTTTTGTGTATTTACATATATATTGGTAGTGGTCAACAGTGTAATCAAACTGTCTCTGTCTATGCTGTAATCTGTTAATTCAGAGATCAAAAGAACATCTTAACATTTAAATGAACTGTAAACATAGGATGTCGTTGTATTCCTCTCTCTTTGAAATGGATAGCCAATCATCTGCGAATGGTGGAAAAACAGGCAATTGCCTTATGTTAATCTGTGTGAATAATTACCGGTGATGCTTAGGAAATAGACCTACTTCAAAGTCGCCCTGATTGCCTATTGTTTACCCAGGACTGTATGGTCAAGTGGATGCTAGAACATTGTATAAAAGACCCTTGGGTCCTGATCCTGTCATCTCAGATCTGCTTAAGCTTCATCAGGGGAAGTTTGAGTCACAAGATTGAGATCCTGGGTAAACTGGAACACCCTGAATATGATATTGGACATTGGACTATAACCTATGGATTACATTCTAAAAGAATTCTTTGCAGCTACAAAGCTCACCATCACTGTATGAATCTGAACCTCAAGAATAGAACTCATGTCTGTATATATATTGATCTCTTAACCAATGCTCACTCTCTTTTCTTTTTAAATACATTTTAGTTTAGTTAATAAGAATTGGCTGTAGCATTTATTTGGGTAAGATCTGGAATATTCATTAACCTGGGAGGTAATGTGTCCGATCCTTTGGGATTGGTAGACATTTTTTATATGATGAATAAGATTTTCATTAATCCTCCTCATATCTGACTTGGGTGTCTAGGTAGAGGCCCGAGGCTGGGTTACTTTAAGGGAATTGTGTTGTTGACTTCTGAGTAACCAGTGAGGTAATAAAGAAGCTGTTTTGTGCTGGCGTGGTAAATTTAAGTATTGGAATATCCACCAGCTTTGGAGATTGTCTGCCCCCATTCTTTTCAGTTCACCCTAATTGAGTGACCTCAACTGGCTCCCCAAGGGACTCCTGTTAAGGAGAAATTGTATCCCTGTGTTGCTTGAACTCTGAGGGGCAAAGATTTCTAAGCGTAAGCAAGGGGTCCCCAGCTGTTTAGCTTGGGTTAGCCCTAAAGGATGTACAAA